TGCTCGTAAGGCGATCGCCGTCAGCCGGCGGCAGGGACAGCGGGCGGCACAGCCCGTTCCTGTCAAGGGGAAATGCTACACAGTGCTTGGTGTGAGGCTGACAGCGGGGAGCGAGCGAGTGTGCAGGGCATCGTCTGGTGGGCCCGGGAGCGCTGTGCCAACCTGGGCGTTTATTGTCATTAGGACCCCTGGATGGACTCTTCCTCTGAAGCTTTGCTAATTTGCAGCAGCTGGGCAATGCTCCTCACTACCATCTGTCCGTCAGCATAGTCCCGCGTCATTTCTCCGTGGTAAGGCGTCCGTCTCCGCTGTGTCTGGTGTCTACCCTCTCAGTGGTTAAGATGAGCCACCGTTGAAGTTTGTCCTTTTGGGCTGTGTTTGTCACGCATTGGTTCTGGTGTATGTGTGTTTCAACCTTGTTAACAAGCCCTAAATCGCTGTGCCTGTCAAAAGAACAGCACTGGAGTCCTCTGCTGTTCAGCATAAGAAAATGCCCTTTGTTATTTTCATTAGGTGGCAGGGACTGAACTCCGCATTCTGTATAGGAAAAGCACCTGGATCCCTGTCTTTCAATGGCTTCGAGACAACCAGAAGTGCCTGGTAAACTGAGTTCTTTTTGGTTAAGTCTGTTTTGCCCTAATTGATCGAAACTTAATTTTCTCCAAATCATATATTGGTGGTTCCTTTTTGCCACTAGGGAACCAGCTTGTCATCATTTGAGTATTATCTCATTACCCTCCCGGCCGTGGTATAAACCCATATCTTAACTTAGAGCCACTGTCCTTAAGTGTATGGCAGATGCATTATTTATACCAACGGAGAATTAACAGTGTTTGTAGGGTGTGTCCCTGTGATTAAATTACCCTGTTCTGAGGGTAGTTAGGATGGAGGTCTGGGCCGAAGGTACAGTCACTGTTACATCTAACTTAGCTGTAAAAATGTTTGCATCAACATTTAGTGTGTTTTTGGTTTATGTTGCACTGTAGTGTCTGGGTTGCTGAAGTTGCTGATTCCTCCTTGGACTGTTTGTTAGCAGAAAGGAAGGTGATTTTTAAGTCAGTCTGAATCACCCTGTCTTTGTTCTCAGAAGTGTAGATGGTGTTGCCTGCTCGTCTAGTGTGAAGAGTAAATCTTTTTGTTTGTTTTTTCTGAGACAGGTCTCTCTGTGTAGTTTATAGTTTTGGCTGTCTTGGAACTCTCTATGTAGACCAGGATAGCCTTGAACTAGTAGAGATGCTCCTGCCTCTGCCTCCTGAGTGCTGGGATTAAAATTGTGTATACCACTCCTGGCTCAAAAAGTTTGTGATCTCTTTGTGGGAACATGTTTCCTAGTAGAGGTTAGTTGACTTTAGTGCCATTGCTTTTATAAAGCCATTGGGAGAAGTCTTGAACATGTTTTTGAAATTGCTCCCCAGTTAGGTAAGTTACTGAAAGTGTCCCCATGTGTCCTCATATGTCTACCGTGAGATACTGTCTGTGTGTCTGCTGTTATGTATGTCTTCCACACACGCAGAGTTGCCATATACTCATTGTAACCGTGTAGAGCTGTGGTGTTGACTCACTGGGTTACTGGCACAGTGGGCGCAAGGTGGGAGCCTGGGTTCAGTGTCTACTGTACATTTGTTGCTGTGTGATATTGCTTACGTCCTGATCTGGGAAATGGGAAGAGAATTTGTTTAGTGAGGATTAGGTACGAGAAGGAATTAAGTGCCTGGTAGTTTTTATTTGGATGCCTATTTTAGTGGAGATACAGTGCACATTCTGAAAAATCACCACTTAACGTGGGTAGTTTGGTGGATGGTGTGGTCATAAGGTTGTGCATCCATCAAATTAATGTCCTTACAGAGCATTTTCATTCTCTCAGAAAGACTTTGTTCCCATTAGGAGTTACACCTCACTGCCCTCTCTCCCTGGCCCCTGGTCCCTGGTCCCTGGGTTTGTTAGTAATTGTTAATATTGGTAATAATCACATGATAGGTAGCTCTGGGTCCCCTTGCTGTTAAAGGAAACTTTCCGGGTTTGGGACTTGCTGCCAGGCAGGTTGCTATCTTGAAGAATGTGATTATGTAACAGGAAAGTATCACCTTGAAGTCAGGTTCTGGATCAGTCAACCAAACAAATGAACCTTGCTCTCTTCTCTGGCACAGCTGAGAGTGCCCTTGGAGCATGGTGCCTGCGTCACAGCTGGACATTCTAGCAGTCAGTTCGTGGACAGGAATGGCAGGATCGAGCTTTAGTGTTGATGAGAGTGGCTGTCAGTAGTCTCTTTGATGGAGGTGTTTCAGTCATCAGAACACTAGGAATTAGAGGTGGTGCCAGACCACACACAGTGAACTGCTGCTTGTAGTTCTCTTTGTGGAGGAGACGTGAAGGCATAGGACTTGTCATAGGCTTGGTCAGAACTCAGCCAGCCATTTTCTCTATGAGCTGAGGCAAGTCCGTTCAGCACTAGGGTTTAGTTTCCTCATCAAATGAGGCAGTGAGGGGAAAGAGAGAAGATGCCCTCAGTCACTCTATATACCCAACTTAGTCTTGTATGATCGAGGGTTTAGCGTACGAATTTTAAAATGAGATAGGTTTGAGTTTTGACTGGAAATTGTGCTTTGAAGTTGAGACTTTGTCTAGGTAAATTTCCATTGTGCTTAAGGTTCAGGGACTTGAAAGTGGACTAGGGCCTGGTGTGATGGTCCATGCCTGTAGTCCCAGCACTTGGGGAGAGCTGAGGCAGGAGGAATGACAGAATTTGAGTTGAGCTGTGTAAGCTACATAGTGAGCACCAGCCAGGCAGGACTGCATAGCAAGACCCTGTCTGAAAAAGAGGAATGAAAACAGGATAGTGTGGCTGAGAAGGTGAAGTGGAGACTCTAGAGTGTGGTGGAGAAAGAAGGCAATGACACTGTTATTACCCTCCCTTGAATGGATTAATTGTCACAGAGAAACTGTCCCTAAGTAAGTTTCACAGATTTCTTGTCTACAGATCAACTTAAAGCCACCAGTATGTTCAGTTAATAATCCCGTGTTGACAGGTGTCTCTGTTCTTAGCTCTTGCGCCCAGTGGGCCTCTAGGCAAGATGTCCCTGCCCATCGGGATGTGCCGCCGGGCATTCAGCTATGATGATGCCCTGGAGGACCCTGCGCCCATGACTCCTCCTCCATCGGACATGGGCAGCATTCCCTGGAAGCCAGTGATTCCAGAGCGCAAGTATCAGCATCTTGACAAGGTACCTTCCCCTGCTGGCAGCTCCTGGCAAACCCATTCCCTTTGTTCTCCTCCTGCTCCAGAAGCCTTCAGTGATTCTCTGTCTCCATGAAATCAGGCAGCAATCGTTCTCTTGGTATATCTCTCCTACAGAGTGTCATCTGCCTGAGAGTCTTCTGGACTCTACTTCCTCAACTAGAAAGCCAAACTCCACACGCCCTCAATACCGAGTCCTGATGAGTCCTGCTCACCTCACTGTAGCTTCTCTGTTATCTAGCCAAAGAATTACTGGAATATTTGCATATACACAATGAGCTAGTGGGGGAATAGGCCCCAAATCCAAATATGAAATTAATCTATGTTGTATACATACCTTCTACTTATAGCCTGTTATGTACAAAATGAAGTTTTACACTGTGGGATGTTTTATGTCCTCTTGTGTCATGGCCGCATGCAAAAGACTTCAGATTTGAGGCACTTTGAGAGTTTAGGGTTTGGACAGAGATGCTCATTCTGTATTCTACTGCAGTATTAAGCTGAAGGTGTGGCAGAGAGTCAAACAAACCTTTGAAAGTTCATTTTGTGATTGGCATAAGCAGGGGTCTCTTGAATGCCTGCTGTGTTTTCATTTGTGCTGTGTCTCCCCTTTGCTGGCAGGAAGCATGGTGCCTGCCCTCGGGCTCCTGAACAGCTCCATGTGCTCTCAGGGCAGTCCCCAGGTCACTGTGTGCACTCTGCTGCTGAAACCTATGATGCTCACCTTGGATTCCAAGACCCAGAATATAGTAAATGTCATCCTTCTGCCTGAGAATTCTAACCAGGCCGAGAAGCACATAAAGAAAGCCATTTTCCCTGCAGCTTCAGCTGGAGGCCTCAGAGGAAGCATGCAGTGAGGGTCTGCTTAAAGTAGACCTGGAATGGATCCCAAGTGGTTTGACCTGGTCACAGTGTTACCCCTGAGTACAGTACCTCTGTCTGAGAGAGGGGAATTCTTTATCTTAGAGGTGGTGAGGGAGTAGCAGGAGTCTTAAAGCCTTGGTCAGTGTGTGGCTGGGCTGAGCCGGGTGCTGTCTGAGCTCTCCTTTCTGTTTCCCTTGTTATACTCTTATACTCACAGACAGGGGACTTCTTCCTAAGAACCATCCCCTACTGCTCTGTGGAGAGCTCCTTAGTTGTTTGCTGTAATCAGACCCAGGCGGCTGTTGAAGACAGAAAGTTCTAAAGACTGGGAAGCCAGGCAGTGGTGACGCACACCTTTAATCCCAGCACTCGGGAGGCACAGGCAGGCAGATCTCTTTGAGCCAGCTTGGTTTACAGAGAGAGTTACAGGACACCCAGGGCTATACAAAAAAAAAACAAAACAAAAAAAACCCTTTGTTTCAAAAAAATAAACAATGGAAGACTGCAAGAACTATGGCAGTCTGTATGCAGAGGGTCTTGAGTCTGAGGCCAGCATGAGCTCCATCCAGAGGCCCCCTGCCCAAAGAAACAAGACTCCTAAACAACTATAAAACAGACACACACAAAAACAAACTAGCTGTTTCCAAGGTTGGTGCAGGAGGATTGCCTGCTTGGGCTACAGAGTGAATTCAAGACAAGTCCAGGTAACTTAATAAGGTCTTGTCTCAGAATAGATTGAAAAGGGGCGGGGATATACTCAGAGGTAGTGTGCTTGCTGAGCACGTGCAAGGCCCTGGGTTCAGTGCTCAGCCTGGGGGTTGGCATAGGGAGACAGACCGCTGTGAGCCTTTGTGCGGTGGTCCAGCAGCTTTACTTGCTGGTCCAGTTTCCTTTCCTGTTGCTGTGATCAGATACTCTGACAGCAACCCCAGGGAAAGGGCCCACAGAGCTCACAGGTTAGGTCCAGTCCATCCGGTGGGCAAACAGAGGCAGAGGAACTGAAGGAGTGGGTCAGTCTCATTCACAGTCAGGAAACAGAGAGGTGGATGCACACTGCTGCTCCATCCCTTTCTCCATCTCATACAGCCCAGGATCCCCTGCCCAGGGAGGTGCCACCTGTCATAAAGATTGGTCTTCACTCATCAGCTAACAGAATCAAGATAATCTCTCACAGATACTCACAAAGGCTAACATTCATCTAAATGATTCTTCATAGATGTGCTCAGAGGCCTCTCTTCTAGGTGATTGCAGATTTTTTTTTTAAGATTTTATTTATTATGTATACAACATTCTGCTTCCATGTATATCTGCACACCAGAAGAGGGCACCAGATCTCATTACAGATGGTTGTGAGCCACCATGTGGTTGCTGGGAATTGAACTCGGGACTTCTGGAAGAGCAGCCACTTGTCTTAACCTCTGAGCCATCTCTCCAGCCCTGATTGTAGATTTTGTCAAGTAAACACTGACCGTTAACACTAAACAACACACTTGGGGCTTTGTTAGAAACATAATTTTTATTTAAAAATATTATTTTCTGTGGTGCTGGGGCTAGAACCCGGGGCTTCACACATACTGTGCTAGAAACATTCTTTTTTCTTTTGATATAGAGTCTCACTATGTAGCCAAGGTTGGCCTTGAACTCATGGCAGTCTTTAGCTTTCTGAGTGCTGGGACCTACAGATGGGCATTACCACACTCTGTTTATGTGGTCCTGGAGATGGAACCCTCATGTCTCACCTCTGACAGCCTAGACCTGCCGAGCAGCCTGAAAGGTATTTGGCCAGTACTCAGGTGACTGAGGGAGTGCTCTGCTCAGGCTAAATAAGGCTCGGTCAGTGCTTTGTAAGAGGTGTCTCTTCTATCTTATGTTTTTTCTCCCTGCTTGTCCTTTCTTTCCTTTGTCCCTCATTAGTTTTTCCTCAGTTTTGGAGACAGGATTTTGGTAGGTATTCCATCCTTGTCTTGGATTCACTATGTAGCCCAGACTAGATTTGAACCCATACCGAACCCCCTGCCTTGGGCTCTCTAGCACCAGGATTACATGTGTGTGCCACCAAGCCCAGTGTTATATCTGTAGTGTTATAGGCAGGTTGGAAAGTTAGGCCTCAGGGCTCCAAACTCTGCCTTTCCTTTGGTGATTCCAGGCTCTCCCCATAAGGAAGGTCCTTTTCTGTTACACCGTGGGCTAGTGGAGGTTGCCACTGTTCCTTTTGAGTATTTCTTCACTTACCGGTCACAGATTCTTGTAACTCTTGTCTAAAGAAGTAAGTTTAGGGGTGCGGCTCCTGCCCTGCTCATGTGCTTCCTTACTTCTCTCGGACAGACAGAGGAAGGAGCGGCCAGTGTCTCTTCCCTTGCTGTGACTCCAGCAACAGCCACTGACAGTTCAGACAAGACCCCTGTGGTGAAGGCTAAAGCTACCCATGTCATCATGAATTCCCTGATCACAAGTAAGCGCCTTTCAGTCTTGGCAGAGCAGAGCCAGTGAGGGAGAGCTTGGGCCTCGGCTGATGATCATCAGACCTGCTTTCTGGGGACCCACGTTCCACTGGCTGCTGAGTCTCGTCGGGGAGGTCAATTTGCTGACTGTTGAGGATCTCAGGGCTTAGATAGAGTCCTGCTGTTGCTTGATACAGTCTTTCATTTTCCTGTCTGTACTGATCAGTGTGGTGGTGTTGGGCAAGTTACTTAATGCTAAATATGGCACCCCGTTTTCTGAAGTCGGGGCTCTAGCTGGCAGGTTGATGTTAAGGTTGACTAGTTCACTAGCAGGAGCTTTGGGTCCACTGCAATTACCGGCTTACGTGTGTTGCTGGAGAAGGTGGCACACTGGAGGGCGGCCCTCTGGGCTTGCGCTGTTACACATGTCTTTGGTTTGTTTTGAGACGGGGTCTTGCTGTGTGCTCATTAGCTTCAAACTCAAAGCAGTCCTCCTGCCTTAGTGTTCATGAGGGTCAGTATTGCTCATGTACTACTGCCCCAGCAACTTTAAAAAATTCACATATGCATTTATGAATAATTTATATGTATTTTCACAGATTTTTGGTAGTGCTGCCCAAGGCCTTGTACATGTTGATCCACCAATAAGATGACTAGGTTTGGTGCCTCAGTTTCTTTAGTTTTTAAAATGTGTCATTAATGGCCCCTAATGAAGCTTGGTATGAGAGCATTTTTTAAAATTTTTTTTTAAAACTATGTATACAGTATGTGTGCTTGGGAGTGTTTGGAGGTGGTGAGGAGGCCAGAAGGTGGCATCAGATCCCTTGGAGCTAGAGTTACAGATGGTTGTAAGTCATCCAGTGGGCTGCTGAGGTCTGAACTTGGGTCCTCTGGGAGAGGAGGGCCATCTCTCCAGCTCCGCTTTGTAAACTTCTTCTACAAGGCCCCTAGCTTCTTCCTTCTCGAGGCCATTCTAGTTGGTGTGGGAAGTTAATTATTCAGTACACACTCTGCATGTCAGCAGTAATACCACCCCAGGGCTGAGGTGCCAGAGGTTCTCCTTGGTTGGCTCTTTTTCTGTCAAAGTTCTGTTCTTTCTCCTCCAGGAGGGCATCAGTTTGTCATGGTCACTTCTGGAAAGTTGACTGAGAAAGTCAGAGTCCAGACCCATTGTTTCTCTGTGACTGCATTGTTGGAAGCAGCAGCTATTGCTTGTATTCTGTAGCTCGACAATTCTGTTGTTAGAGAGCACAGCTGTGTGGCTTCGAGGGCATCAGGCATGTACGTGGTACCCAGAATCCATGCAGGCAGCACACCCGTAACATAAAAACGGAAGTGGACTGTCTAGATCCTGAAGTCCACCTGGTGTGGGGACTGTTCACAGCTATAAGCTTGTGTATAGTTTGTAGCTTAAGAAAAAAAATCATCTCTTGTTCATTCTGTAGTGAGTGACTTAGGAAATAATGAACTAAGCTGAAAGAACATCGTTAGCTAGGCCAGGAACAGCAGCAGGCAGACATGCCTAAGAACCCTAGAAGATCAAACCTAGAAGGGCTAGTTCAAGGCAGGTGGCTGTGCTGTGAATCTGACTGGTACTTAGTGCCATCGGGCACTACTTCCCTTTGGCATAGCTCGTGTGCAAATGGGAAGTCTCTGAGGGAGTGAGTGATTTGGGAATTTCCTGTGTCTGGATGCCAGGCGCCTTCTGCTTGCTGTTGGTGAATGTGAGTATGAGTGAGAGGAGGTGGGGCATCCAGCATCCCTGTGGGGCAGCCTGCCTTTTAGTGTGCTGCTTCTCAGGGAACCTGTGTATTGGTGTCAGAATTGCCATACCCGTGCCCGCCCACCAGTCACTGTGACCTCTGGCTTCGGGGAAGAACAGCAGGTATTGTCCAGGTTGGTTTGCAACTAGCTAGGAGCTGAGCATGACTGTTCTCTTTTTTCAGAACAGACCCAGGAGAGCATCCAGCGTTTTGAACAACAGGCAGGACTGAGAGATGCTGGCTACACACCTCACAAGGGCCTCACCACTGAGGAGACCAAGTACCTCCGAGTGGCAGAAGCACTCCACGTAAGCAACCAGAATCGTCCATGGCTTCAAATATGGCTGTGGTTTAGAAGTTTACAGCTTAGCTGTCTGGCAGCTGTGAAGAATGACAAGAAGCTAGTGGGCAAAGGACTAGACTGTCCTGCTAAGGTGGCATTCCTGGCTGAAGGCCTGGAGGTCTTAGCTGCAGATATTTTGCTTGCTTGTATATAAAGTGAGGGCATATTTTGTTTATATGTGATATGTATGAGAACTGTGAACTCTTGTATGCCAGAATGGTTGGCTAAGAAGGAGTAAGAGGGGAATCCCACAGCTCCAAGAGTTACTAGTTCAGCTGGGTAACACTGTTCTCTGTTTATGGAGAGGTAGGGTCTTTGCATGTAAACCCAGGCTAGCACATTTTTTGAATTGGCGTGTATGTGAGCATGGGGGTTTCCAGGCTCACCAGGACTACATAGTGAGACTCTGTTTCAAACAGAAAACTCAGGCTAGCTTTGAACTTCTGATCCTCCTGCTTCTGGCTCCCAAGTGTTGGTGTTTTAGGTGTGTACCACTATGCCTAACTTATACTTAACTTTTTTTTTTTTTGGTTTTTCGAGACAGGGTTTCTCTGTGTAGCTTTGGAGCCTATCCTAGCTCTGGAGACAAGGCTGGGCCTCGAACTCACAGAGATCTGCCTGCCTCTGCCTCCCGAGTGCTGGGATTAAAGGCATGCACCACCAACGCCTGGCTTATACTTAACTTTTTAAAAATTAAATTCAGGTGCCTGCTTTTGCAGTACATATGCTACAACTGGAATGATAGAGAAAAGATTAGCATGGCCCCTGTGCAAGGATGACATGAAAATTTGTGAAGCGTTCCATATTTAAAAAAAAATTAAATTCAGGAGCTGGGTGTGGTGGTGCACATCTTTAATTCCAGCACTTGGGAAGCAGAGGCAGGCGGATCTCTGTGTGTTTGAGGCCAGCCTGGTCTGCATAGTGAGTTCCAGGCCAGCCAGGTCCACATTGAGAGACCCTGTCTTGGGGGTTCAGAGATTATTTTGGTGAGGGTTTATTTAATGATGGTTAAATTTTTTCTTTGTGGCCACACATGGTGGCACACACTTTTAATCCCAGCACTCAAGTGGATGTCTAAGTTTGAGGCCAGTCTGGTCTACAAAATGATTTCTAGGACAGCCAAGGCTGTTACACAGAGAAAACCAAAGCCAAACAAACCAACAAAGTATTTTTTCTTTGTGCTGCCAGTTATTGAACCCAGAGCTTCGTGCATACTGTGAAGTATTCTACCACTGAGCTACGTCTCCAGCCCCTCACTCCCTTGTTTTTTGTTTTATGGATTTTTCTATGCATGGGCATCTGTCTGCATGTATGACTATATGCCACTTTCAAACCTGGTACCTGCAGAGGCCAAAAGAGGGTATCTGATCTGGAACTGGAGTGACAGATGGCTGTGAGCCGCCCACATGTGGCTGCTGGGAACCAAACTGGGGACTTCTGGAAGAGCAGCAGGTGCTCTGAACTGCTGAGCCATCTTTCTAGTCCCCATCCTCTATCTTTTCTCAAAAAAGATGCATCTTTCTGTGTAGTTAAGGCTGGTCTTAAAGTCAAGGTTTTCCTGCCTCAGCCTCTCAAGTGCTGGGATTCCTGGTATGTCACTATGCCTGGCTTATGTTGAAGTATTTCAGTGACTTCCCTTAAAATTTTTCCTGTATTTATTTATTTATTTATTTATTTATTTATTTAGAGTGTGTGTGTGTGTGTGTGTGTGTGTGTGTGTGCTGTTAGTTCATGCCATGGAACACGTGGAGGTCAGAAAAAAAGCTTGTAGAAGTTGATTCTTTTCTTCCACCCTGTAGATGTAGGGATCAAACATTGCTGTCCGCCTGGCAGTGAGTGCCTTTACCCACTAAGCCATCTCACTGGTGTTCACATGTTTCTTTTAGAAAGGCCACTTCCTACTTACTGAATGGTGTTCTGTGATTTATATAGTTACATAATTTTGACATTGATCCTTGGAGGTAGATACTGTATTCTGTTTTGTCAGTAAAGAAGATGCTGGGCAGATAAATGAGTCCGTAAGGTGCTTGCTACAGGAGCATGAGCATCAGTCCCTAGAAACCATGTGTAAAGTTATATGTGTGGTCCATGCTGGCCGCCTCAGTGCTAGGGAGGTAAAGATAGGCGTTTTCCTGGAGTTTGCTGTCCAGCCAGCATAGTCTAAGTAGCTCCAGATTCCAGTGAGATACAACCTCAAAAAACAGTGGTGCCAGACATAGTGATGCACCACTCCCAGCACTTGGAGAATTCAAGGCTCACTTGGTTTATATAGTGAGTTCCAGGATAGCCAGAGCTTACATAGTGAGACCCTGTCTCAAAAACCCAATCCAACAAGGTGGGTGTCTTTTGAGTAGTGAAATGAAGTTGATCTCCATATGCACTTCTACCCGGTGTGCACACCACCCTCCCCCACAGTACATATACACACATGCAGGCAAACACTCATGCACATTAAAAATAAAAACAGCTGGGTGTTGGTGGCTCACGCCTTTAATCCCAGCACTCGGGAGGCAGAGGCAGGTCGATCTCTTTGAGTTCTAG